GTGCGTGCATTTTATCTCTATTAAATCTAATGACAAATCAGTTATGTAATAAGTGAGTTTGAGACATGCTACAACTCCTTCAGCTTCATGGACAATGAAGAGAGAAATTTCAGCCTACCTATGCAAATGACGAATTAGAGAGGTTGCAGTAGTAGTATGGTTTCTTTTCCTTTTCTGTTCTTTGGGTGAGATGCTTAGTTATTCATGCTTTAGAATCTGTGTTGAAAGCAATCATCTAGGTGAATGAGTAGAATCTGACTATATTGTTGTAAGACTCTTTTAAAGCAGGAGGTATATATTATAGCACATTTCTATGCTAACTATATATTAACCTAATAAGGAAGTATTTTTAAAATCATATTTTATGATTATCTTATTTAGGTTGTGTTATCTGAGATTTCAATGCATTAATAGTCTCACTGAAAAATTTTCACCATCTCTAAGAATGCTTTTCAGAATCTTCCTTTTTCATCTTATAAGTGCTTATATCAGTCACATTTGTCCAATATTATTTACCCTATTAGACAGTGAGTGGTTTCCATTATAAGAGTATTGGTATACTCTTCCTATACTATTTGTAGTCATCAAAGCTTTCAAGTAGTGAGGACAGAGAGGGGAGAAAGTAAATTGGTTATTGATTGCAAGAGGGCCAAGGAACTGTGGAAAATTATATTATTAGCCTTTTCCTAGCAAGGTTTTATTTTTTAAAAAAGATTTATTCACTTCCTATTTGAAATACAGTGAGAGAAAGGTGATGTTAGTTAGGAGGGAGGGAGGGGGAAAGAGAGAGAGAGAGAGAGAGAGATACCTGCAACAGTAAGAGGGATCAGGCTGAAACCAGGATCTAGGAATTCCATCAGTGATTCCTCTTGGGGTGGTAAGGACCCAGATAACTTGGGCCATCATTGGATGCGTTATGATCAGAGACAGAGAGGCTGAGACTCAAACCAGTACTCTGATATGTGGTGGCCATGTTGCAACCTGTGGTTTAACCCACTTTGCAACAATGACCCCTAAATAGTTTTTTAATGTTTAAAATCATTATTGCAATAGCCATATTTCTCCTGCTTATTTACACACGCATCTATCTGTCTTTATATCTAATCTCTTAAACCTATAAAGTTGTTGTGATTTAGTGTAAGTTGTCAAGAAGTTGACCGTAGTGCTTTATAAACATTAAGATGAGAGATGATGTTTCATGGCAAGCAGCAAGTTTCAATATTAAGTGTTTTTTTTTTTTGGGGGGGGGGATAAGATATCTTCTATAGGTGATAATGTTTTCCAGTGAAAGAACTACAGAATAAATGGAGGCTTATTCTGAAGCTGCTCATAAGCACACGGATAATTAATAGAAATTGGCGGGTGATATAACAGAAAAATTACAGAAGCTGGTCGGGAAACACAGGGACTCTGGCTGTAAGGTGATTAGACTTGAAACTGAAGAATCAATTTCATGTACTGGCCATGTGTATTTTCTCAGGTCTGTGAAACAAGTTGAGCCTACATGTTGTTATGTTCAGTATCATAACAACATATATTCCATGTTTCAGTTTTGTTTATTCCATAGTTTGATTTAAATACTTTTGTGTAAAATGTCAGCCTGGTCTTCTTTTGTGAAGTTGATACATTTCAGCACTGGTGAATTTTTTCTCTGTAGGTTTTCCATATTGGCATTTTCAATAAATGACTTCATTAGATTTTTCTAAAGATGTAAGAACAAACTAGCCTTGAAGAATGGTAATCAGTGCCAAATATTCTTTCTAATGAAATATGTGGGTAGGATTACTCCTCTCAAATTTGTTCCTGTGGCACATGAAGGATGCACTAGTAATCATGGTTTGCCAAAAGATTCACTTGTGGATGTGGCTTATGGGACTATAAACCAGATATCAGCTTTTAGCTGCCAAGTGTATTAATTTACATAATTCATTTTACATTTATCATTGTATCATCACAATGAGTTTTAGCTTACTTTTATGGAAATTTAATAAAAGTATTTACTTGTTTGTACAAACCAATTATGACTTCCATGAAAGAAAAGTACAAATTTGCCTAAATACATATTACTATTTATTGTTTGTATGAAAATGGGAATGACTGACTTGAGTCACTTCGAATGTTTATTATTGCTCATGAAAGGTGTGTTGGTTTAAAATGATGTGGCATCTGGATGTTTTATATAGATGTGCCTATATGCAGCTAGTTGCTTTGCTGATAGACATGTGCATTTTAATTTTCTTGAATTATTTCCCTAAGCTTGGCATTCAGATAATTTATTTGTGATTAGCAAGTACATATCTGCACGTTTGCAGTGGTTAAAAGTGGGTACCTTTTGTACTACAGAACTCTGAAACAATACTGTATTCTATGATTCTATTTTATCATCATCTACCAATTTGTTGGGGGACAAAAGAGTAACAATTCAAGTAGCTGAACAAATATATGGTAGAGAACATAAAAAAAAATGTCACCTTTACCCTTCTTATGCTGTCTCTAGTTTTAATACAACTATGAGTCATGAGTGAATTCTCCCTAATCTTTTTGAATGATTGTGTTAGTTTTTGCCATTCTATACATTATCTTCCCATTTCCATCAGCTTCAGATGAAAATATTGATTTTCACATTACTAAAAGACCATCCATTGATTGACTCAGTCTTATGCTGTCTCTGAAACCAAGTGATGTGGCCCACTTTTCACACTTTTTTTTTTTTCAGTGAAAGACGGAATGATTGAGAAAGAGGAAGAGGCAGTGAGGGATATCCTCCATTCACTAGTTAGCTACAATTGCTACCACAGAAAAGTATGAATGAGATCAAAGCCAAAAGCTAGAAATTCTATTCTGGTTTCCTTTGTAGGGGGTAGGGACCCAAGTACTTGGATTCTCTGCTGGTGCTTTCCCGGGCACATAAGCAGGAACCTGTATTCGAAACACAGCGGCCATCGCTTAAACCAGTACTGCCATAAGGGCTGTCTGCATTGCAAGTGGCATTTTAACCAGCTGCACTAGAAGGCTTGCCCCACACCACTTTTACTTTTATAACCCCTGTTTTTCTTTTCTTTTCTTTTTTGTCTTTTCAAACTTCTTTCACTTTCTATTTGTCATGTTACATTTCTCTGTAGTTATTTCTCAAGTCCTGGGAAGAATTGGCCACTATTTGCTTATTTTCTTCCTGTTTACTCAACAGACCATTGAATTTACTCCCTTATGTGCCACCTTTTTTAAACAAAGCTGTTGTGAATAAAACTGCTATGGATTTGTTCCTGCTGATTTTCTAATTGGAAAACCTCGGTGATCTCTTTTCTGTGTTTGGTTTTATCCCACTTCTTCACTGCATTTATTTCTCCTTGAAACTGCCTCCTTGACCTTCATGACAGGTTTTTATTTTTCCTGTACCACTTTAATGTTCTTTTTTTTCCTCCTTAGTACTGTTCCCTCTATACTAGCTCTCAAATATTGGCATCCCCGAGTCTCACTTGGATTATTTGTTTTACTCACTGGTTATCGTCTTCACAAGTGATCGTAAGCATTTTCAAAGCCTGAGATATACCCTACACACTGTTGACTCTCAAAATGTGCTTTCAGTCTAGGCCAATTTTTATGTGAACTTCTCTGTATAGATATTTTCAGCAGTTACATGACCAAATATGAACTTGCTTTCATCTCTCCTAAGCAAGTTCTTTGTATTTTCAGCATTTCAGTTGCTAGCACTGTCATTTATCCAGTCACTTGAGTCAGAGCCATGGGATACATTTATTCCTACTTCTGCTACTTTACTCATATATAACCAGTAAACTGTCCTCTAGTATATATTTTGATATTTAATGCATTTCCATTCCCTAGAATAGATTGAATTCTCAATCTTCATCACATTTCCCCTGAATTTTCACTTCCTATGGACAGCTAACACGGTGATTTTTCAAATTAAATAAAAACGGTCCTGCAATACAAAATTTCACACCTAATTTCTGCCCTTGTTGCTAACAGCAACATTCCTCATGTATTTTGTATTTTTGTGTATTTGTATATTCTTTAAAATGCTGTTTGATAGCTTTTATGTTTGGTATATATGGCAACCACTTAAAAAGCACAACTTCTTTTTCCTGTTTATATATTATCTATGAATTTATGACCTAAAGTTACTAGAATTTAGCTTCCAATGCAGTGTTTCTCAAACAGTCTCAGAATATTGTAGAGGTTATGGATCCAGTTTTAGCAATTTATATTCCTACCTCTATTTGTATTTATACCACATAAATGTACACAGAAAAAAAATGAAGATTTTGTTATCTCTGTTTATTCTTACATATCAGGTACTCTTTGTATGTGTAATTTTTCCAAAGGGACTTTAATTTTTCAATTTGGGAATTCATTCTACAACCTATAGGATACATTTCAAGATTCTTAATATGTACTGTTAGATCTTTCATGATCTAGCCTCTCTATATTTTTTTCATCTTAATCTCTTGCTGTAGTCATTTGAACCACTTGTCACTTCAATAGATGCAGTTAGAGTTTCTATTTCTGAACTTTAACTTTGAACTTCTCCTTTACTTCACAAAGTAATTGAGCCATTACCTTTTCTTAGGCAATAACCTAACAAGTTGGTCTGGGCTGTCCAATGGTCTATCTTCATACTTCCCAAGGAAATATGCCTTTAAATATTCCTTATTGTTTGTTGTCACTTGCTGCTACTGTTACCAATACCAACCAATGATCTCCTTTGGTCCTGTGGCTTTACCCTCTGTATCTGTCATTAATGGCAGACATTGGACACAGTGGCTGGAAAGTAGATGGGTGACTCAGCTGTGAATTCTAGCTGTGAAGACAGGCTTTTACTATGGTCATGGTGAGCAGTTTATTTTTCACTACTGCTTGTTCAATGTTTAATATATGTTTATAATGCTTCATGTAGTGTTTTAAGTTAGAAAAATTGACACTAATTTTTAACATGTTAAAATCATGTTAGCAGATAACTGTTTTGTTCCTTTCTGTTTCAGAAAACCTGTCTTCCCAGTTGCAGGCTCAGGAACCTAACTCTGAGAATACACTAACTCCGATGGAAGATTCTGGATGTGACTTATCAAATGAACAGAGAACTGAACCTTCAGAACTATCCCAGAATTTTGTTGAAAGCTGCAACCCCACAGCTTTTCTACCACTGCCTCTTGTGAAAAGACCTTATATTACCTCAGGAAATCCTCTGTCTTCTCACATGCAGTTCTTTCAACATCTACTTGAATTAAAGAATTTGACAGAATCAGGTAGTCTGAAAACAGACTTAACCCCTTTTCAGAAAGACTCTTCCATAGTCTGTGACTCTGTTCTTCAGCTGCTAAATGGCTTGATTGCTTTTTATCGTAATCCCAAACTTCCCCTTTCAAGCTTTTGGGCAGAAGCTGTTGGCATTTTAGCTAAGCTGATCACTGATAGTAATTTATCTAAACAAATCCTTAAAAAATGTTCTGAGAAGTTGGAAGAATTTGAGAAAACTCTGATACAGGCTATTTTAGGAAACAACAATTTAAATCGGGTAAGTAGTAAATCTCTCCTATTCATGAAATAAGATGTCAGTAATATTAATAGACATTCATTCACTTTAGGTAATAATAATTTCTGTTATTTTTATTTAACCTTGTGGCCCAAGGAAGCTTTATGAAGTTATTATTTGCTGTTACATTTCCACTGTGGCTTCTCTCGCTGTGGTAAAATTCTTTCCATAGATATCTCCATTTCAAGCTAATACGTATCTACGTGAATTACTTTGTGCAGTTTCTAAAAGATATTTACTTGGAATTCAGAGTTACAGAGAGAGTGAGAGATAGAGGGAGAAGGTTCTATCCACTGCCTTACTGCCCAAATGGATGTGACCACCGGGTTGGGCCAGGGTGAAGCCAGGAGCCAACAACACCATCTGGGTCTTCTACGTGGGTGCCAGGCATTCAAGTAGTTGGGCCATCTTCAGCGGTCTTCCCAAGGTCAGCAGCAGGGAACTGAAATGAAAATGGAGCAACTGTGACTCAAACTAGTACTCATCTGTGATTCCAGCATTCACAGGCAGCAGTTTAACACACAACACTTGCCCCTAGTTTCCCCTGTTTTGTTAGTTACTTTTTTTTTTAATTAGTGTCTTCAGATTCTTTTGTTTTTTATATTTTGCCTTTATTTATTTCTGAAAGTCACTAACTTTGGTTGTTTTTCAGACTGTAGCACTTGTGAGTTCTTCATGATGGCTTGATTGCCCACGTTGCATTGATTCTGTTCTTGTTTTGTGATTGGTTAGCTAATACTTGGGGCAAAGAGAATTTTTCCTTCTTTGACTTTTGCCTTATAAATGACATACATGGCTACTTTGCAAAGATATAGGCCAGTTTAATAGTTTGGCTGAGGAATACATACTGTAAGGCTTTTTCGTTTGTTTGGCCTGGCTTAGTAAAGTTGACTCAAGGATTCTGCTTCAACAAGTGACATCAGGGTGACCTGAAGTTTTTTTGTTGTTGTTTGACTCCTGATACTACTAGGGCTTCCTTTTTTACGTTACTTTATTTCTTCCTTACAGTATTATCCTTTAGAAAACTTCAAGTGCCTTCACATTTTTAAGCCTTTATAATGGACTATTAAAAATATCACAGGCACCCAAAAGGCCTAACTTACTCTATGTTGCTATAATAAAAGAGTTGTTGGACTTGCTTTGGGGGGTGCAGGGGCATTTCATTATTAAAGATTTATCTTCAGTGCCATTCGATTTTTGTACAATGGGTTATTTTCTCCCAATTTTCAAAACTCTGATAAAATTTGAAATTGATAAAATTACTTGCTTCACATACATTTGTTCTATTCTCTATTAAGGATGATCTGATCAATATTATAGAAGGATTCTTTTTTTACTATGTTTGTAGCATTTGTGAAAGATATTGATTTTTCTCTGAGAAACTGAAATGTTTTCTGCTGGACACAGTCAATCAGGAACAACGTATTAGATTTAATAGTTGTACCTGAGGTATTGTCTTAGTCTGTTTTTTGTTGCTATATGGGTATCCTAAAGTGCATTGTTTGGCTCACTCTTTTGGAGCATGAGAACCTCAAGCGCATGGCACTGGCATCTCTCCTGGACATCTGCTGAGGTCTTTCTGGTTGGACCATAACCTGGCACAGAGCACCAACAAGATAGCAAGTGTGCTAGAACAGCTCTCTCATATTTTCTTTAAAAAAAAAAAACTGCTAATGAAAATTTCATTCTTATCCTGTATTTTACAACAAAATGGATGAGACTGGAGGCAATTATGGTTAGTGAATTAAGTTACTCCCCAAAGGGCATGTTTTCTCTGATATTTGATAGTTAATATAGAATGCAAAAAGTAAGAGAGTAAAAATGCTGTATTATAGTTTGGTCCATGTGTATAGCTTTCATCAAAATTGCTGTTGAACAGTGATCTTTGTTTTTTACTTGCTGACATTGTTGTGGCTGGTGGATTATGATTGTGATTATAAAGTAAATTGAAATTATACTACTGCAAAAATTAAATAAAAACATAAAAGGGGAATCAAGAAGTGTTGAGGGATGGAGGGAAGGAAATATGGTTATTTTAGAATAGTATACGTAAAACACATGAAACCTGTTTTTTTTTTAAATATTTATATATTTTCTAAAGCAGCTAGTGTTATTCTGGAGTCTGAATCCTCATTACATCATTTGGTCCTAAATACTTTCCAAGCATGCCTTCAGCAAAACTAGTGTCATGATAATAACAGGGAATTAGGTGGCATATTCAAATCATAGCATGCAAATACTGTTAACCATCAATTAATATCTCAAATAATTAATATTTCTTTATAGCATATAATTTTGTGTTATGCTTTTAAGAACTACCTTAAGAAGATTTTCTGAGACTTGAAACCATGCAGATAATGTCCTTTGTATTGCTTATTGCAGTTACCAGGTGATAACTGTATGTTTTCATTCTAGTCTTGGTCTGATTTAAGGTTTGCACATTGAAATGATATTTATTCAGTGGAAGCTGGAGCATGTACAGAAGTGTGCATTAATTCAGATGATTTTGAAGTGTGCATTTTTCCTATGGTTTTCTGTTGCTACAGACATTGCTTAATAATTGGTCAGCAGAGAAATATCGGACAAATGAAGTACTTTCATGTAGAAGTAGTTGTTGCATTCAGAAAAAGAATCATACTATAATTCATAAATATCACAGTTAGGATGACAATTCATAAATACATGTTAATACTATTCTGTCTGAGGATCTTTATCTCCCCCAGAAAAATCATCTTTGAATAAGTATACAAGTTTTTCTTATTGTTCTTGTCACCATTGTCAAGATATGATCACAAAACTTCTCTTTATTGGAGAAAAAGGATCAATGACAACTTTTTATAAATGCTCTATGACATTTTCCAGTTCTTGAATTAAAGTCTCAGGAGAGAATATAGTATTATATTAACTACTGTTTTTAATGATACCACACTAGATAGATTATAAAAGAAAAGACCATAGTTTTAAAAACATTACTTCTAATTAAACCCTTTGTTTATCAGATTGGGAATTTTCTAAACTGTTTTACTTAAAAACTTGAAAATTCTTATTGTTTTCCTTAAAATTAGCTTATACATACTAATATTGACAGGAAAAGTTATGGGCCTGCAAGTGGAGCGGCACTAAATTCCAAGTTAAGCAACACTGCTTCCTAACTGCTTAGAGCAGACTTTGTGCAGATCTCTATCAGCCATCTGCTTTGAAGTCATATCTTCTGTGTCCTAGAAGTATGCTACTCTAGGTTATAGTTTTCAGACCTACTCTAGTGGTAATACTCTGAAAATCTGAAATAGAGGATTTATCACATCATACAAGGACAGGCTAGCACTGTTATTTCAGTCATGTTTATTGTGCGATATATATAAAAAACCGTTGGGCTGGCTGTTTTGGCACAACTTGCAGCACTATATCCCTGGGAGTGAATCAGTGGATAAAAGACTTTTTTTTTAATTCTCTATCTCTTACTCCCTGTAACTATCTTTCAAATAAAATGAAATAGATACTTTTAAAAAAGAATTAAAAGAAAATCCAAAAGGCTGGTTGGGTTGTATAGCAAGCTGATACTCCACCTTCAGCCCTGCCATCCCATTTGGGCACTAGTTCTAGTTCCAACTGCTTCAGTTTGAATCCAGCTTCCTGTCATGGCCTACAAAAGCAGTAGAGGATGGCTTGAGTTCTTGGGCCTCTGCACATATATGGAGAGATGTGGAGGAAGCTCTTGGCTCCAGCTCAGGGTTGGCCTTTCAGCCATTTAAGGAGTTAGCTAATAGGTAAAAGACCTTTCTCTATGTCAGGATGTGAACTGTCCCATTTGGGATTCTGGCACCACAGGCAGGGGTTAGCTTGATAAGGTACCACAGTGACCCCTGTTCTTTCTTTTTTTATTGATGTAGGTGAGATTTGTACTTTTAAAATTGTTTTAAAAGTAATCACATTTACTGTCTTGTTTTTCCCTAATTTTGGTTGGTTCTATTCCTTTGTTTCTGTGATCATCTTTATTATATCCTTCCTTTTACTTACTTAGGGCATTAATTCACCAATTTTAATGTGTTTTCATTTACAATAATGGGTAGGAAATCAAGACAAAATAAATAAGAAAACTAGATCAAATGAATTTATCAGGCATATACTGACTGAGTTTTGTGCGCAAAAGCAGAATAGTGTACTTTTTGTTAAGTGTACGTGAGCTGCTCTACTGGAGAGCTCACATTTGAGTTCACAAAAAAAGCCTTAATAATTTTAGAAGTTTAAAATTATTCAAAATCTCTTTCTGACCACAGTGGGATGAAAATAGTATTCAATAGCAATGAATAAATGGGAAAATTCATAAACATATGAGCATATAGCAGCACACCATCACACAACCATTAAGTCATAGAGAAAACTGAAAGAGAACTTCAAAGATATCTCAAAGCAAATGAAAATGAGAGAAAAATTTGCTAAAACCTATGAAATGCAGCATAGTACTAACCTGCAAGGAAATAAAGACAAAACCTATGTCAAAATGGGAGAAAAATCTCAAGTGAACTACATTTCTGGTGCATTGTTTTTAAATTTCTGTCACTTATTTTTATATTTAAAATGTATGTTGTGTGAGTAGATTTCACATTTTTCACAATACAGGTTTAGATGCATAACGGCTTCCCCCTTTCTCTCCCTTTCCCTATATTTGTCTCTTACTTTTCCCCAAATTACTGTGACATCACATTCATTCACTTCACAGTAAAAAGTTTAATTTATAACTGATGATCTTATCCCTTTGTTGTATCTTGAAGTCTTTGATGTCATAACTGTATCAACCGGGGATACACATTGATGTTTAAATTTAATTCTGTCTAGGTTTCAATATTTGTTACACAGTTCTTCAATATGAATTAGGACATCATCAATAATAGCTTTCTCCCTCTTGTACTTTCCACAAAAACTGTCTTTATGCTTGTTGTTGTTTATTGTTTTTATAGCTCCCTATTCATTTCTTAAAGTTT